GCACTGGCGACGACACTGACTCTAGCTCTAACACTCGCGCAAGTAAAATTCGGTCAAAAGAGAAACGCGTATTAACCGATACTCGTACTCTGCGTCGCGGTATGCGCGTCGTTCGTCGGCCCGAGGCGCAATGTCCTTTCCACAATCACGGAGTCATGTATAAGCGTACGAAACCAAACAATCAGGAAGACACGGTTACCCCCCATCAGTCGCTGACCTTGCCGATCAGTGTTGATGCCTGTGTCGTCCGTTAGCTGAAAATGAAAACAACTCGTGTTTTCAAAGCATGCCTGTGAGAGACTCGCTTCAAACTTCACAATACTTATTTACGTCTGTTCCAAGAATCATATTACGCCGAATTCAAACTGTCTCTATTGACATGACATACACGAGATCTGCGATCGCATCATTGATCTTTCTTTGGACAAGAAAATCTTGAGAGGAACGCTGTTCGAGAATATCACATTTTATGTTTCAGGTGCCTTACAGATTATCAAATCCGATGTAACAGATCAGGGAAAGTATGAATGCGTCGCTATAAATAACACCGTGGGCACCGAGTACTCCAAGTCAATCACGTTATACGTGAAACGTATATTTAATATTATATAAAACTTACCTTTTTAAACAAAAAGGTAAAAAAAAGGCGCCAAGTACAAGCGCAACACGTATTGTGTTATTTTTAGAAGTATCAAACTCAAATTATATTTTTTATTGTATATATGTGTACACAAGTTTTTACAAGTAAAACATAACTATAATAAAATTCTGCAACACTTTTCTACTGTACAAAAGAAATGTATGTACATAAGTTGTTATGTACATAAGTTATGTACAAGTGTGGACATAATATATATCTTAAAAAAAAAAATACAGGCTCAAGATACAGGAACGCGCTTTTGCCTCAATATAGTCCTGTATCAACCCTATTCTCACCATAAATCTCGACTCTCAGTTCCCAGTAGAAGCGGAGATATGAACATTTAAATTCAAATTTCAAAATTAACTTAAAATTTAAAAATGTAACCTTCGGTATCTCCTAAACGGCTCAAGATACGGGAACGCGCTGTTGCCTCAATATAGTCCTGTATCAACCTATTTCACCATAAATCTCGACTCTCATTCCCAGTAGAAGCGGAGATATGAACATTTAAATTCAAATTTCAATTAAAATTAACTTAAAATTTAAAAATGTAACCTTCGGTATCTCCTAAACGGCTCAAGATACAGGAACGCGCTTTTGCCTCAATATAGTCCTGTATCAACCCTATTCTCACCATAAATCTCGACTCTCAATTCCCAGTAGAAGCGGAGATATGAACATTTAAATTCAAATTTCAATTAAAATTAACTTAAAATTTAAAAATGTAACCTTCGGTATCTCCTAAACGGCTCAAGATACAGGAACGCGCTTTTGCCTCAATATAGTCCTGTATCAACCCTATTCTCACCATAAATCTCGACTCTCAATTCCCAGTAGAAGCGGAGATATGAACATTTAAATTCAAATTTCAATTAAAATTAACTTAAAATTTAAAAATGTAACCTTCGGTATCTCCTAAACGGCTCAAGATACAGGAACGCGCTTTTGCCTCAATATAGTCCTGTATCAACCCTATTCTCACCATAAATCTCGACTCTCAATTCCCAGTAGAAGCGGAGATATGAACATTTAAATTCAAATTTCAATTAAAATTAACTTAAAATTTAAAAATGTAACCTTCGGTATCTCCTAAACGGCTCAAGATACAGGAACGCGCTTTTGCCTCAATATAGTCCTGTATCAACCCTATTCTCACCATAAATCTCGACTCTCAATTCCCAGTAGAAGCGGAGATATGAACATTTAAATTCAAATTTCAATTAAAATTAACTTAAAATTTAAAAATGTAACCTTCGGTATCTCCTAAATGGCTCAAGATACAGGAACGCCTACAATAGTTCTACAGTTCCTGATAGGTTATACAAATAGCTCTGTCGAATTAATTAACAAAATGGCAGTTTGAAAATATGAGGTGCTAACTTCCCGTAGCACCGCAACTTCCAAAAAAACCAATTTCAAGCACGAAATTTTATAGTTCTAGAATAGTTCTATAGTTCCTGATATGTTTTAGGAATAGTTCTGGCTTCTAACCAATTTTAAATAATTTTTGGAACCCAGCGCCAGCCCATCATCACAGGAGTAAAGTATCAGTTTGCTGGCAGTTCCAGCCGACTTCTGGGTTTCTTTTAGTAGTTCTACAATAGTTCCAACGCTTTAGGTTGGTCCCGCCGCGGATTCCGGTCTTTAACTATTTTTAAATAATTTTTGAATCTCAGCGCCAGCACCGCATCACAAGAGTAAAGTATGTGTCTGCTGGCAGTTCCAGCCGACTTCTGGTTTCCTTTTAGTAGTTCTACAATAGTTCCAACGCTTTAGGTTGGTCCCGCCGCGAGTGCCGGCCATTAACAATTTTTAAATAATTTTTGAATCTCATCTTAAACACCGCATCACTAGGGTAAATTATGTCTGCTGGTAGTTCCAGCCGACTTCTGGGTTTCTTTTATATACTATATATATACATATTAAACCTTAAATATAAGCATGTGCAGAATTATTATAAAATTATCATAAAAACAAAGAATAAATAAAAAGCAGAAAAAACAATACTGCCAGCAGACACATACTTTACTCTTGTGATGCGGTGCTGGCGCTGAGAATCATAAATTATTTAAAAATAGTTAATGGCCGGCACCCGCGGCGGGACCAACCTAAAGCGTTGGAACTATTGTAGAACTACTAAAAGAAAACCAGAAGTCGGCTGGAACTGCCAGCAGACACATACTTTACTCTTGTGATGCGGTGCTGGCGCTGAGATTCAAAAATTATTTAAAAATAGTTAATGGCCGGCACCCACGGCGGGACCAACCTAAAGCGTTGGAACTATTGTAGAACTACTTAAAGAAACCCAGAAATCGGCTAGAACTGCCAGCAGACACATACTTTACTCTTGTGATGCGGTGTTGCGCTGAGATTCAAAAATTATTTAAAAATAGTTACTGGCCGGCACCCGCGGCGGGACCAACCTAAATCGTTGGAACTATTGTAGAACTACTAAAAGAAAACCAGAAGGCGGCTGGAACTGCCAGCAGACACATACTTTACTCTTGTGATGCGGTGCTGGCGCTGAGATTCAAAAATTAGTTAAAAATAGTTAATGGCCGGCACCCGCGGCGGGACCAACCTAAAACGTTGGAACTATTGTAGAACTACTAAAAGAAACCCAGAAGTCGGTTGGAACTGCCAGCAATCTAATACTTTACTCTTGTGATGCGGTGCTGGCGCTGAGTTTCAAAAATTATTTAAAATTGGTTAGAAGCCAGAACTATTCCTAAAACATATCAGGAACTATAGAACTATTCTAGAACTATAAAATTTCGTGCTTGAAATTGGTTTTTTTGGGAGCTGCGGTGCTACGGGAAGTTAGCACCTCATATTTTCAAACTGCCATTTTGTTTACTAATTCGACAGAGCTATTGGTATAACCTATCAGGAACTGTAGAACTATTGTGGGTGCCAATGGAACTATCGCTAAAACTTGCGGTGCTACAAAATGAGGTGCCAACTTCACACCGGCGCGTAACGTCTATTCCATTACTAACTGAAACGCCGCGATTGACTTGAGTGAGCGCAAGACCAACGCGCATGCGCAAACAATCGTTTCCGGTCAAATGTTTGATTTACTCAAAGAGCTATTATTTAAAATACGCAATATGCTCCAGAAATATATAATGTGTATAGTATAAAAATATATCTTGTAAATAAGAAGTAATCGTTGCATACCTGATTATAATGTCAGGGTTGCCCCGATTAACGGTTGACCAAAGATTCCCCTTGACGTAGTACGTGATCGTGACATCACTTCCGCTAACGGTTGCTTCTCGGCGGTTCGAGCTCGAATACGCTCGCTTGGCGTTCGTTGCGTCCTTTTTTGTCGGAAGCAAGTGTCGCGCGCGAGTGATTATCGGGAATTAAGTGACGGGCGATCATGTCCATGCGTTAGTTGCTCCGTGTGAGTTCGATCAAAGACGATGTCTTACGATTGCGATTCGGTGTCCACCTCATGCCGGTGAACGGGCAACATGGAGAACCTGCCTTGGCGTTTGACGAAATGGGGACGAGCTTTCGCGTGTTTCGGTGAGTCTCTCATACATCAATCTTTCATATGCGATGCCATGTTAAACCGAATATTATTCTCAGCTGCGAAGTGGCAGCTAACAAGGTGGTTTCTTTGATTAAAAGGAAAAAATTATTAATTAAGGAGAAGAAATTATCAATTAAAGGGGAGAGGATGGGAAGGGGATCTGATATATGTTTCTCCTCTTGATTTTACTATTTCTCGATCGATGACAAATATTTTTCGACAGTCTTGAGAGTCAATGTATGAAAACATATGTTATTCAACAATGTTCATAGTGCAATATCAGACTATCATACAAAATATATTTTTATATGTTACGAAAGAGAAGGGAGAAAGAAAAATATAAGATTTATTCTACTTGCTATTGTCTCTCTGGATAGAACATAATGAAAGTATAACGTAAGGTGGATTTTTGGATTTTACTCGTAAATTACAACAATTTAATATCCAAAGTCAACATCAGTTTTGAAGTAATAAATATTGTGAATGAAGTGAAATCTGATACATGCATATGTTTATGCATGTACACAAAAGGATAGAAATCCATAGAGCATCTTTTCACTTTTCTCCTTGTATTTTTATTATCAGATATATATGTATACATTATTATGCATTTACAGTATTCAATTAATTTTTACAAATGTGCAATAAAATGGGGAATAACGAACTTAGAGATCCTTCCATTCCACCCCCAAATACTACTGCTCATATATCTTATACGTGTACGTTAGTCAGAGTACATACTGTAGCTTCAAAGACGCAGTCATCGTTCATGGACGAGTTTACACGACAATGAAAATCGGTATGCGCGAATGTACATTTTGACACACGACATTCTCCACTACAATAGCCTCTGATGGAATAGTTAATTCATCACGTTTCTTTCTTTATGAGCGACGATCCTTACGGGCAACGTAATCGTAAGCATCGTATACTCAAATACTAAATGCTTCATATATAAAATGTACAAAGATCTGCACCGAAAGCTTCGTTACTAGTACAATGAGAAATCGATATAATGTTATATAAAATAAAAAAGAAGAAAAAAAGACCACGGAAACGGATACGTGTGCGTAACGTTAAATATGCTTGCGCGACCATCAACGGTAAAAAAATATATGTATATATATATATTATATATATATTATGTATGTGTATATACATATATATATATATATAATACATATATATATGTATATATATATAACGACTCAAACGGAAACTTGCGAAAACACTTTTGATAGCTCCGGCGAGAGACTCTCTTTCTCCCTCTCTCTTTCTCTCTTTTTCTCTCTCTCTCTCTCTTTCTCTCTCTCTCACTATCTATCGTTTGTCTAATTTATAACTTCGATTTGATCTTTTCTCCGAATTTCACACGCGCACTCTGCCAGAAGTCAATAGTTATAATACATGCAATCTCTCTTGTTTAAACAGCGTTGAAACAGTTGTTGAAACAGCGAAACAGTCACACTGCCGTGAAATGTTCTCGTGATCCTCGCGGAGATGATACTCGACGTATGTCTCATAATTTCAGATCAATCTGGCAGATGAAGGATGCATTTATTGTACAAATGTCGGGACGCATTCTTCGCGAGTATACGACTAACAAGTAATAAAAATATTAAGATATAATTCACAAACAAAGAATGTATTGCACGTTCATCACGAATGGTACCGAACGATGATGGTTAGTAGAGCTTCTTCATCTGTGCTTCCTTACTGTCCCTGCAAATGAGAATCACGTATTTTTGAGTATCCTGCTATTTTCTCTTTTTCTTTTTTTTTATATAAAGTTACGTTATCTGCATCGTGCATAATTACCGATAGAGACTGTACGCCAGTAATATTATCATTTGTATCGCGATGAACATAAAGAACATAGTTGTCGACAAACAATTTGTGGTAGGGCAATCACCGCCCGTATTGGTTTGTCGGAAATCCCTCTTCAACGTGTTCAACCCGTCTCGCAACTCGGATATGAGTGATTGATAATCGTATCCCATCGGCTGTACCTATGCAATTTTACATTAATAATGTCATCTATATAGATCAAGGGATTGTGTTATTGTTGTCGAAACGACATAAACCTGTGCTGTCGGTGCGCGCGCCTGATTGTTGAGGATCGACTCGGCCTTCGAATGAACCTCACCCACGAACGACTTGATCTCCCTGGCTGTGTTCAATATGATATTCTGATTGGTCAACACAGCGTCGACCTCCTGGCGACGTATGGTGTCTATCAGCATAGGCTGACCATCCGGCTGGCCACCCGAGACTTGCACACCTGATTCACGCATTCAGATCAAAAGAGATTCTTTTCCATTCCGATTAATCAGTTGATTCTGGCGCGAGCGCATTTCTCGCGCAACTCACCACCCGCTTGAAGCTGAGATATCAAGCTCAATGTTCGCTCTTGCCTGCCCACGACCTCGTCCAATTTGCTGTGGAGTCCACGTAAGACCTCGAATATCTGACTCTGGCCTTCGAATACCTGTCGCAACTCCCTCTGGTTTTCCGTCTCGAAGTAATCCTCGAACTCGCTCTTGCGTAGCCGGTCCGGGTGTTCCCTGTCGAAGAATCGCGATTAGAAGATATGTATAGCTATCCTCTGCCACATCGCATTCGTCGTAAAGACGAATGCGTCCTTACTTGTGGTACTCCTCCTTCTGTTCCTCCAGCTTCTTCTGGTAATCTAAGTATTCCTGATTGAGTTTGGCCTGTTCTTCTAACGAAACCTTGTGTCCATTCACTGGCAGTTGTCCGGGCGGGTACAGAGAGGTAGTGAGGAAGTACAGGACGTCGTGATCATCAGCCAAACCACCTGCAGCAGAACGGTGGCGGTTTGAAGTGTGTACAACGGTGGACAGAAAAGCTGGCCGCTACTTTGAGTCCCTTCATCTTCGAAACGTATGCATTTTGCCAACTGGGGGGAGGGTGGGGGGGGGGGGGAATTCTCTCATCGGACAAGACAGATGTGTACGGAAACCCGTGCAAAACGTAGCGGACGTAGCTTCTCCGTCCACGAATGTACACGAAGACAATTATGTAGTTTGTAAACTACTGTTTCTTCTTTCGTTTCACTTTTCCCTTTTCGTGTACACACCGGTAGCAGCGGAAACGCCAAAGAATCCACTCTTCGGTAATATAACGTTGTCTATTCGGAAGCAGATGTCGTAATCTTGTACGTTCTCCGTTACACCGTTGTGGAACAGTAGCTTAAAAGGAAAGTTCGGGTCGACTGAAGCGGGTCGAAAGCCAAAAGCGACGAAATAATCACGCACGCAGGTGTATACTCACGGTTAACGTATTCTTGTAATATTCTACTCGTGCTCGCGTGGGGAATGGCTTATTGCGGAAATCTCGTAAACATCCTGACAGTTGCTGCGTAGAGCCGTCGCTGTTTTGACAACAAGATAAAGAGGGTCACATTTGTTTGCTAATGTCGGACGCACGTTGCACACACGACTGAGACTCACTTTGTGTGATCGAACACCTTCGTCCCGTCGTTGACAACTGCCATAATGTACGGATTGTTGTGCTTATTGTCATTGTCGAAGGAATCGAAGAAGATTCCCAGCCCTGTCCACATATCCGAGCTACCGAAGACTGTACCGTTGTAAAGTCCCTTCGTACTTGTGTACCAGAACGCCAAACCGTCCGCTCCTATCCTTCCTCGACCGGTTACACGGAAAACTATGTTCACCTCCCACCAGTCGAAGTTTGTCGGTTGCTTTGCCCATATTGCACCTGCGCAATATTTTCAGACTGCTCATAAGCCTACTTTCGCATTGTCAACCGCCACTGATTCAGCCTCTACAAGAGCTATTGTGCAATCCCCTGCATACCAACCTTTTTGACTTCTGAGAGATGGGGCAACTCTGACATTCTCCGCACTAGCGATAGCGTCTGCAATTCAAAATACAAGCAGATATGTAAAAAGCACAAGAGCGAATCAGTCAATGTTGTATTTGCAGCCACGCGCGCACGGAGTAACGCGGACAGATGTTTTGACAGAAAGCGAGCAAAACATATGTTCGGTGAAACTCGACGTGTACAGCCATGTATTTGGATGTTTGGACATCGATGTCGCATACTTTTCTCCGACGCACGAGAGGAAGCTCTCGTGAGCGATATCTTCACGACTCTTATTCTCCGGAAAATAATCTCTCATCTCACGCGTAATCTTCGCCCTGTAAAAGCCACGAATGGCGTGGCAGTTTCGCGCCGGAAATTCTGACTGAAAACGCATCGCAATGAATTACTTGTCGAAACGTCTAATTATCCACATCGGTCGCCGACCGTTGCGTGCCTCGCGTCCCGCGATAAGACGCTAATCAGCGAATTTTTTCCGCCAACGCGACGTCGAGACGTCGGTGTTTTCGTTCCACTTGTCGGCCGCTGTCGCGCGTGTTCCCTCAGCGGCGACACGCCGCCGGCAACGGGATCACGATAACGCGCAACTCGCGAACGACCGGACGGCCGCGTCTCCTCGCTCCGCCGCGCGAGTTAGTCCTGCGAGGACAACATACGGAAGCGTGGCGTAGCGGTGGCATCACATACGGCGGACGTGTGCGCGCGTAGGTTATGGTCAGGGCGCACCAAGGGCTACTCACTTCCGCCATATTCCCAGAACGGTACGCTGCCATCCTTCTGCGCGAGGTACGGCGGCTTGAACGAATATTTGTACTCGAATTTCCGGTGCGGCGTCTCGCCGTGGCCCGGCGAGACGGCGCAACATATAAGAAAAACTAGAAGCCACCTCACCTCAGCGGCCATCTTCATCTCGACTGTCGGGCGGCGAGCGCGAGCGAGCGACCTCGCCGAGAGTAGACGTGAAAGCTGGCCGTGTGTCGCGGTATCATCGGCGCCGGCGATTGGCCCAGATTCACGAAACCACGCCGACCATTGGACCCGTGAGCAGTGACGTGTCGTCGTCGTGGCCACATTCCTAAAATCCCAATGACATATACCCCTTTAACTTTAACTGGCCTTTAACTGGTCTTTAACGGCCGACGACGACATGTATTTTAAAGTCGTCTCGTCGGGCATTTGATTTGTCTGAGAGACTCGATCAACGGCATCGGTTTCTCCCGAGTGCACATTTTTGATGATTATTCGCGATCCTTCTCTCTCCTTTTCTTTTCGATGTCGACGTTTATCGCATTTCGGGTGCAGATAGTGTGAAGTGGTGCAATTGGTATAAGACGTGAGATGGACACGACGATACGACGTTCTCGGCGCCGGTGTAGCAGACGATTTTACGGAAAATTCCTTCGCTCTTAAGGTCATTCTACAGTATGTATCGTAAGTTGTAAGCCGTAAGAACTGACCAATTATAGCCGATTATTTTTGTAATAATCGACTGTGATTCGTCAATTCTTACGGCTTACAACTTACGACACGTATTGTAGAATGACCTTTACAGATCCAGCGATCGAGCGATCTCTCGAGGACAGGTTCGCGAAGATGAATGTTCGTAAACAAAGATATTAAGTGATAAAAACGCGTTCGCTTGTAAAAAAAAGAAGGAAAAGTGCTCCGCCACTATTTTTTACCGACATCCAGAGCAATTTGCATAAGTGGTGTTTTTTCGTTATGATATTGATGAGAGAAACCGGTTGAAATCGGTCGTATCTCGCATAATAATAATAAGGAATATCTCGCGATGTTTCGACATGCGATGGAAAAAACGCGAATCGATTTGTACGCAGCGGGCAAAAAGTGTTTCTCCCGCGCTTGCGATACCGCCTTGCGCATTCCGTGTTTTGAATCTTCATCTGGCTCATCTCCTTAGTCGATGGCATACCTGTGTCCAAGATGGCGTCGCTTATTGACAACTACGAACAGCAGTATGCCGTTTTGACAGCTGACATCACCGCAAAAATCAGCAGAATAAGGGTCCAGAGCGGCGGTGAGTAGCTCGGCAAATGCGATCGCAAGTGCGTTGTACGTTCGCGTCCGCGACACAATAACGTTACAGTGGCCTGCCGCGAAAACGTTTAAGTACAATAATCGATATACGTGACGTAACTTGTAGGCGAGAAAAGGGCCTTTGTTCAGGATGTGGACCGGCAAATTGAAGAAGCTCAAGAGCTGGTGAGTAAACATTCACTTGCGCTCTGAATTGTGGAATAAGAAAGAGCCGAGTGACATTACGATCGCAGACTGTCGAGCGGCACTTGTCGCGTAGGGTTAGAATGACTATTTTTTCCGCAATTTACGTGCATTTGTCTTTTTTATCGGGGTGACTCATTGCTCGAGATATATACATACACTCGACGGTTAGTTTAAACACGACAGGCTTATGTATGTACCGGTTCTTGAGATATTCACGTGTCGAGAGAGGGAGAGAGAGAGAGAATGTATTCCGTATGAATAATTAAGTCTGAGAGATCAAATGTTTAATGTGTACGTAGTACCGTACACTTGAAAGGATTTCCCAACGGACTTGACAAAGATTTTGCAGCCTCCTCCGAATCTTTGGATCATATCTAAATCGGTGTTTCTTTAGCGAAGATATTGTGACATCGTTTGCTCTTGAGTTCGTTGACAAAAAGGGATACAAAAAATTGTTTCCAAGCTTATTCAAATACGAGAGATACAAGCGGATAAAATCTTATCTTTCGTTTACCTTGAAGTGAGACTCGGACGAAACTTTAATCTGGATAGAGATTGCTATTTAGTTTACACAAATATTTAGTATCGAATGTTAAATAGTCCGTGACCGACCATCGCATCAAGGGAAAATAGCTTTGATCTCAGTCCAGATGGAGAGAAAAAAGACAAAGAAATATTCGACAAACCAGAAATCACTTGTAATCTGTAGCTGGAGCAAATGGAGTTGGAGGTTCGTGGGATGAACGGGACGGCTCGCGATCGGCTGCGCGGTCGCGTAGAAAGTCACAGGGCAGAATTGAAGCGGCTGACTCAGGAGTTTCAAATGGTGAAGAAACCCAAGGAGGACGTTACGGAGATCGTAATGGAAGAGTCCTGGGACAACAATGTGACGGAAGACCAAAGGAAAAGACTGCTGGACGCGTCCGAGAAAATAGAGAGGACGGGCCGGACGTTACAAAATGGCTATCGTATGGCACTGGAAACGGAGGAGATCGGGTCGCAGGTGTTGAAGGAGCTTCACGAGCAGCGAGAGACGATACAGCGCGGCAGAGGAAGGGCAAGTTACCAATTATGTCGTTAATGGCGTTGGAAGATTAGATGAGCAAGCGTGTAATCGGCGCCAATGACATAGGAAGAAAAATTCATATATAAGATCACGATACTGCAATTATATGTGCTGTTTTTCTGCTCCAGTTACGGGAAACAGACGCCGAGCTGGGACGTGGATCTCGATTATTATCGGGAATGATCTTCCGCAGCCTCCAACAGAGAATCATTTTAGCAGCGGTTGTTTTAGTACTTATAATTGTCGCGTGCTTTGTGATATACTATAGCTTTAAATCTAAAAGTTAAAGAACGTACGCTTTCTTCGGCCGGATGACCGGCTTGTGGAAGCCATATTTATTATCAGAGAATTCAAAATGTTATTTCTGTCAAATTGCGAGGTTCGGTAGGTAATTATGCCATCATTATTAACTGTCGTATCGTCCGACTCGGGCGGACTTGTTTGTTCACATTTTGCCTCGACGCGAGTGACCATCGTCGCCGTGTATATATTTATCCTCTTGTTAATTCGATTTCACCCCATATTGGACGAATCATAGATTAACGTAGAATGTCGTCGAACAACGGGGAAAGATCAGCCGATGTGTATCACATGAATTTCCTATATAAAAAAAATATCGACCATCGTGACACGGTAAGAAAATGAAAGACTAAGAACGATTTTATGCAATCGGTATTCGCTGAATCGACGATGAGAACAATTGCCAAATGCGTTATTCCGAGTGTCGCTGGCTGATAAAATGTTTCGAACGTTGCGAAAAGAAATCGAAAAAGCCCTTCGCGCTACACACACACACACACACACACACACACACACACACACACACACACACACACACACACACATACACACACACACACTCACACATACACACAATTGTTACAAGAGCGGATGTCGGGAAATTTCTGATTAGTCGAATATATTGCCCTGCGTTCTGAAGGTACTGCGAACTACCACAGAGTGTATGTATATGTATATATATACACACACGCGCAGCGAGAAACGTATTTATTAAACAATATCCATGATTTCTGTCGTTTCGTGCTAATTGACGAGCACGTTGAACCATTACCTCCTCATGTTCGGGCTATGTATAACGTGTGTTGTTATCTTAATTGAATCCCGAGCTATAATTACGAGCTCAGCGGTGAATTTTATCAACTAAAAATGCATTCTACAATCGTGTCTTATGCAGAGAACTACAGTAATCACCCATGTATACATTAAGGTCACACACGGGTAAGGGTCAACTCGCAAATACGCATCTATTAAAGTATCAAAGGATGCTTGTAATTGAGAGACAAAAAAACTAGACGCGCCTAATAATAATTCCTTTTATTACTCATAATGTTATCATTTACCTTAATAGCCTAAACGGTGCTTTTTTGTCTGCGTCCCTAATGTACCTGTGAAAATGATATATAATAAAAGTATCGAGGGTTAACAAATATTTGATGACACAGTGATTTCGGCGTGTGTTTGTGTGTGTTTTTGTTTGTTTGTTTGTGTGTGTGTGTGTGTGTGTGTGTGTGTGTGTGTGTGTGTGTGTGTGTGTGTGTGTGTGTGTGTGTGTGTGTGTGTGTGTGTGTGTGTAAATGTGAGAAAAAGGAAAATAGAGAGAAAAGGAAAGAGCGAGAGAAGAGGGAGGGAAAAAAGAAAAGGAAGAGGGAGAAAGAGAGAAAGAGGCGGCGTAAGTAAAGGCGCTTTTCTTCCTGATCATCGTTTCGGTCAGTGCTGGTGCGGGTGAACGATAACGGTCGCTCAGTCTGGTCAGTCCAAATGTTGATAGAGATCCTCTATTTGCGGCTTGAAATACGCTTTCAGTTGAGGCCGTTTCGTTTTCAGCGTTGGTGTTAAAAGACCATTTTGCACGGAGAACGGGTCTGGATGGAGATAAATGTCTTTTACCTGCAATCGAATAATTCGTTAATAAAATTGCACCTCGTCAGTTTTGTCTTATTTCCGTAAATATTAAATCGAGTTGCGAGACGGTCTTTCAAGAAGTCCTAGAATGAATGAGTAGCAAGATAGGAAGAAGCAAGATAGGAAGATAGCAAGATAGGAAGAAGCAAAATAAAAAGATAGCAAGATAGGAAGAAATAAAGAAACTGACATTTTTGTACCATGTCGTGTGATCCGCTCTCGAAAAATAAATTTGTCTCAACAATATCATGCTGTATCTCGTTTGACAATGATTTACCTGCTCGAAGGACTTGAGACCAGCTTCCTTGCCCCACGCTAACATGTCGTCCAAAATTAGTTTTTTGACTTCTGGGTTAGCGCACAAGACGCTCAACGTACCGGGGATATCGTTCTCCACCGCCCAGCACTTGATTACATCTACGTCTGGTATCACTATTGCTATAATACAAGATTTCAGTGACTCCCCGTGGACGAATATCTGTTGCACGTACTGACTGCGTATATAAATATTCTCGATTTTTTCCGGCACGATGTACTCCCCTTGCGACAACTTGAAGATATGCTTCTTTCGATCGATTATTTTCAGCGTTCCGTTCTGAAATGTAAAACGTAACAACACATAATTCGAGATTCAGTCACCTTCCAGAAAGTTATTTCACTCGTTAATCTTCGACGGGTGGGAGGGAAGGGGCGGGGAAATATTTGCAATTATTCGCTACTTGACAGCGGAGGCTCAATATCTACCGTTAAAAGCGACAAAACATTGTGTATTATTGATAAATGTTCTTCGGTCAACAACCGACCCGAACATTCGCAAACTGTAAATTTCACAATTGCAGCGAAAGAACGCAATACCAACGAGTATTACCAACGAACATAATTACTTACAGGCTGCCACATGCCGATGTCCCCCGTGTGATGCCATCCGTCCTCGTCGATGACCTCGTGGGTCTTCTCGAAATCCTTGTAATACCCTATGAAGACGTTAGTGCCCTTGACGCACACCTCGCCCTGGTTCTTCGCCGCGAAGTACTGCATTTCCGGAACGTCGACGAGCTTGACGCAGCAACAGGCCACCGGTGGACCCACGTGTTCCGGCACATGATCACCCTGCGGTCATCAAACGGTTGTCAAGCGGTTGTCAAACGAGGCGGTGAGTCCTTGCGCGCATACGTATACGAGCGTGTATTTTAATCTCCGTCGCGATTGTACAAAATCGCTCGGCTCTAGCTGACAAATGCGTGCGATATAGCGACAGTGGCGTGACGGGGCGGGGCAGGGGGGGGGAAACAAATATAACGACAGATCTTCCGAATGCACAAGGGCCGTGTTCGATAGTACGCTGAGCTAATGGTCTTGTGATGGAGGACATCACGTGTCCTGGCACATGGCTGTAGAGCTTTGATTCGATGAGCTGACAGAAATATCTACGGCCGAGCATGACCGCCGCGGCTCGCGCCACCGTCTGTATATCTACGTCGATACTCGCAGACGCGCCAAGAATAGAGAGCACGCGCAGAGAGCGCGCGCGATTATTAGTCAGCATTCAATAAAAACAACGTCTTCGAATTTCTCCTGATTGCGCCCACGGTGACACGAGAACATTTATTAGCCGCGAGGAAAATGCGCGTGCGCGACTGACGACGATAATCGTCGATCTCTTATCAGCAGAACTCGCGGGTTGCTTGTCCGCGCGGATAATTAAAGCGGATTAATCGTCACGCGCGCGTGCTTCCGTGAATCCGCGGAATCTCTCGACGGAGGTGTAAATTTTCGCGAGAGACGGCGTAAGCGCACGTCGCAGTGCCAAACAAACGCGCTCGATAAAATACGGCAGTAGGTTTACACGACATTCAAATCTTCTCTCTCTCTCTCTCTCTCTCTCTCTCTCTCTCTCTCGCGCGCGCGATTTTAAAATGCAATACCAGTCAGGCATTTTCATTTCTATCTTCACCGTAAAACGACAACAAGCAAACGACTTCTTGCACGAAGCAATCCGCCGCGGTAGACGTTTCTCAGAATAGTTCTGCATTTTTATTGACGATAAAGTTACTTCGTGATAAACGAACAGAGGCAGCAAGGGAAACAAAACTGTCTACGCAGGTAGAACTTGATGTGTTACATCGGAAGAAAAAATCCTCAAATTGCTATGGCCAAAGTTTATTTATCGCGACTGGACTGTAATTCACGGTGCATTTGCACACTATTAAACTTGACGGTTTCATAAAAAATGTATTCGCCGAGCATATACTGACTTGACTTGTATAACCAGTCTCTGGTAACTGGTAAACTAATCGAAAGGTTCTCTATAATGTATGCATATATATATATATGTGCATATATATATGTGTGTGTGTGTGTGTGTGTGTGTGTGTGTTCATGTACAAGTGTGTCCATACATACTTCTTTTTATGCGTTCCTTGCACACGTTTTTTAAACGATATCGCGCGGATTACGACGTTAACTGGCTCGTGAGCACGTCGTCTGTCTAAAGATTATAAAAAAAACTCGCAACGGTGAGCTTAGAGACTATTCGCACTTGGAGACGAGACGCGAGCATGGAAAAGTGAATAGAACTAAGCCACGTATAACAAAATATCAAACAAGTCCAAAGGTTCGCTTCAAACTTCAATTTGCCATTGACGTCATCGGAGTCGCGTGCAAACAATATTGTTGATTAATGTTTATCTTGGCGTGCATAGATAACGGTGACAAATAGATAATGCAAGTGGCGAGCACTTCACGTTAACACGAAGAAAAAAAAATAACGATGAACTTGGACAAGGCGAAGAATGCGAATTCGTTGCCGCGGGACGCAGTCGAGTGAAATTCGACTCAAAACTCGAACCGGTCCTTTTGATCTGAGAAAACCGAGATATGCTCCGTTCGTGCAAAGCGCTAGGTGGTTTGAGGCTTGAGTTTGAAGCGTATTCCATAACGATGTTTATCGTCATCGCGCACCACGTCTACCGATCGATCCTACGCGACGTTCTCGTGCGCGTATCAATACTTAGTGGAGTCACCTGGTCGCGTCGCTCGACTTGGCGGTAACTTCGGCTTGTAACGGCGCTTGTGACCCGTGCACGTACCTGAATAGTGAGCGTTATTGGCGCGCAGCATTCCGTCTGACCGTAACCCTCGACCACGAGGCAGCCGAGGGCGCACCTGGTGAAGGTGAGGACGTTGCCCGCGAGCGGCGCCGAGCCTACAAGCATCAGCCTCAGCTTGCCGCCCATCGAGTTTTGGATCTTCTTAAACACAATCTTGTCCCAAATGCTGTTGCTCCTCACTATGCCCTTCTTGATCTCCGTCTCCTTCGCCTGCATGCCCATGTTGAAGATCATCCTCTTCAGGAACGAGCTCTGCAGCTCGGATTGCACCTGCGCGAGCGCATGGAATTTTAGCTCTCAGAGTGAAATTCATCGTACGATCTTAGGGTTAAGTTAACTCGTCTTAAATTCTTCTCAAAGATATTGTAAGACTCGTTTCATTGGTCTAGCAATCTGGGGACCTATTTTGGACACGTGTCGAACGTTAAATATGCCTCTCTGATTCTCGAGCTGAAACGACGTTATACATGGCAAGAAAATTTCTCGTGCAAGAGAATGAGAACAAGAAGACGAAAACTCGAAGACGAGGGACGTTATCTCTATTATCATTACCGAATCTAACATCCAAGCGCGTTAAAGCTCGGTTGGGATAACCCGGAGTATTCGGACGAATGGAAATCTCCCACAGAGATTTCCCCGTTTCCGCAACCGAGTTTTTGCACGATCTCCGGAAATCACTTACGCGATCCCGATCTCTTTCTCTCTCTTACGCCTACGTGACGTACTCGCCCAAGAAGAACGGAACTTGAAACTAGAAGGGGCGCGTTTTACACATTCGCCATGCGTCCAGAAAAGGGCGTTCAGAAAAGGTTTCCGAGCTATCAGGTTCCCCCGGCGAAAAAGTGTCGAAGGTCGGTTCAACGGCGAGCGCAGGGTGCGTGGGTGGGTGGTGGATAGATGAGTGGCGACGTAAGCGACCCGCGGCGAGTAATTCAATGGTGGTGGCATACGTGAGCGCGTGATCGAACCGCCGCGCGCCTCATTCAGATGGACCTCAGGGTTACGTCGTCGGCTGGCCGCACCTGCTCGTCTCCTCGCTGCCGCGCGCGCGTGGCGCAACATTGGCACGTTGCACGTAGAGAGCCTCATAGGAAGAAAGTGGCAAACTGATCACGTGACCTCTGTTGACGAGGTCTCTGTTGACTCGATGGAGGCACAAAGCCTTCTTCACCAATTAGAATATCGATGTAGCAAGACGACAGGTTGGTTTTGCAGTGAGTTTGTTTTTAAAGCAGTCTGACGTACATCTGTCAATCATTAGAGGAGGTTACGACGAGTCGCACAAGACATTCGCCTACGAATTAATAACAGCAACAAGAATCAGATATCCGTAAGTAATAAGTATTAATTGTGAAAGAATATTCGTCGCTTCGATTTACATAGAATAAGAATCGTAATATATATTATTTGCATAATTTTGTGTCTTGTGCATAGTATAAGATGCCTAGAATGCTTTTAAAACTCACTGTAAAATCAACCTGTCGTCTTGCTATATCGATATTCTGATTCTGGTCAAGAAAACTTTGTGCCTCCATCGAATCAGCAGAAACCTGATCACGTGACCAGTTTGCCACTCTCTTCCTGTGAGGCTCTCTAGTTGCGCGATATTGCGCAGTCACGGGGGGGAGGAAATTCGCGCGCGCTAACCGAACAGGCGCACGCGGCAACGCGCGAATCTTATGAAAGGAGTTTCGGGATTTATACCACACGGGCACGCCGAGGGAGAGACGGAAGGGGAGCTCGCAGAACAGGCTGTCGTCGCGTCGTAAAAATATTGGACAGGGTCCAGATGTAATCCCTCCGTCTCCGACAATGGGCCGCGCGTAGTAACTTCGGCTACGCGAACTACGGGAGTTTCGCATGCTGACCTGTTCGATAAGTTTCTCCGATACGGTCGACGAGGAAGAGGAAGAGAGAGAGAGAGAGAGAGGGGAACGACCAGCGGGAGAGACAGCGTCGTGCGAAAGTGTCTCGGCGCTTTAGTAAGTTTCGTAATGAGAAATAGTTTATTTAATGGAACAACACGCCGCATCGTTTCGCGCCTCGACTATGTAGAGGCGAAGTGAATGAATAGTGGACTTCTTCCGCGGAGGCTGACATCGTACGTGAATCCAACATATTGGATTCGTGTTAGAATCGTGTAACCCGTGGCATTTATTGCCGGTGTGGGATTAACTGTTATTATTACGCGTGAATTGAAATCGCCGTTCGGCCGATTATTTAAATAACGACGATCCATTGATAGATTTCGGGGATGTATTATGGGCTGAGCTGAATCGGGGAGGGATAGAGAGGGGTCGGGATCATTGTAAACGGTACGACACACACTCGTCGACGCGAGTCCAGCGGCCGGTCGAGTGCAAACTAAAAATAAGTCGCAGATCAACGCAAACCACGCGCGGACAACGTCGATAAACCACTCGAAATAAACACCCCGCTGACAAACAGGAACGCGAGCGCGTAACGCTCGATCTAAATGCGCGATGAATTGGAGACCGATTGTCGAACGGAAAATACTGCGTGGAATTGATGCGCAGACAATAACGCGCAATAACGCGTGTGAAAGAAGTCGGGAGGTAGATCGTTCGCGAAGAAAGTGACGCGCAATAATTGTGTATGAGAGAAGCAATAGTCGAAAACCAACAGCTAAAAGTAATAATTTAATACAAGTCATAAAAAAGCAAAATAACGATCTGATACAAATACTAAAAATAATTCTCGAAATATTCACAATCTAACACAGACAAGAAGAAGAATCCTCGCTTTATAACACACGATAAAATGTTTGCGCGGAAGGAATTCCTCACTCATTTGGCAAAACCGAAAGCTTCAGCATGTCCTCGATCTCTCCCGAAAATCCCTTTTCGGAGCAAAGTTCCTCTCCACTCACCTTGTCGTATATCCGGTTTAGCAGTCTAGGCACGGCCGGCATCACGGTGGGCCCGAGGGCCTTCATGTCCTCGGCGAGCCTCTTGATGTCGCCGCTGTAGAAGCCGACGGAGCCGCCGACCATGTACATGGCGTTCTCGCAGCTGCGCTCTAGCATGTGCGCCAACGGCAGGAAGCTGATCATCGTGTCCTTGGACGTGACCCTGTGATCGCCCAGCTGCATCAGCACCGCGCATATGCCCGCCATGACGTTCTGATGCGTCAGCATCACGCCCTTCGGGTTGCCGGTGGTGCCGGACGTGTAGCATATCGTGCAGAGGTCTGACACCTTCGGCGGCAGTTCCGGGTGATTCTTCTGGGCGCCCAACTGCTCGATGTCAACGAACCTGTACAGCTCGATGCCGCGGTTCTTCGCCCGCTGCTTTGTCGCCGGCCGCGTCTGCTTCACGACCACCAGCTTCCGTAAACACCTGTCGAGATCGGGAAACGATGATGGAAGGAACGATGCGGGCCTCTTCTTCTCTTTCTTCTTCTTCGGGTGGGTCAGGGGGTTGGGAGGGGGAGCGAGGAGGTCCACGAGAGGCAGAGAGAGAGAGAGAGAGAGAGAGAGAGAGAGCTCTGGCCACACTCTTGGCAGCGTTACAAATGAACGTTCTCGATACATCGTTCTTTCGTGTTTGCGATGTTCCACGAAAGCCGCAGCGGCGGCGGCGCTAGCGAGCATGTTTTCTCTCGGGGAACCGGTGCTTCGGGCGAAATTGACCGCATCTGGTTCTGATAGGCTCTAAATCCGTCGGAGGATGTGTCAGAGTAAAAAATTGACGCGAGTACGCCGACCGGAGGTACTACTCTCGGCGCGTATCTCGGAGGATGTCGAAGAGTCTCGTGAGATGTCTTCCTTTCTCCCTCCGCCCCACTCTACGAACTACCATATTGTCGTTGCACGAATATAAAGAAAAAGGATAATCACACTTTGTCTGCCCGCTTGAAAAGAAGCTCGCTCCGATAATCTAAGAATACGCCGGTGCGTAAATGCCAGCGCGACGTTAATCGCGTGCGATCGATTTAAGTGGGCTAAATTATAGCCTCCTCAAGGCCCCTCAAGGCCCCCTCCTCTCCCTGGCCAGAGGACCAGTACGTTGAATTGAGTTCGATTTAATATTCGAGCTTAATTCCGTCAATAATCGATAACAGGCCTCGCTTCGTGCGACAACGCCGAGCGGACGCGCCCCACGAGGGTACATGTCGATTGTTGCCACCGTCGGGGAACGTCGGAAATCGCGCGTTCGGGGGGTAAACGAACTCCAATATGGCCGCGGGTAGAGTCGTAGAATCAACAAATCGATAGTCACGAGGTTACGCGAGGAGGAATCGTCGTCGCGAAATCAACGTAGCTGTTACGCCAAGCATGTGACCACGCTATCGAGTGCGTATCGGTATTGCGATTGTGCGACCTTCGAAACAATAACACGAGTGCTCGCGCACGCCACGTAAGTACGGTAAAGAAAATACGGACAAATACGGACGTATACTCTCGTTTTAAACAGACATACTTTCGGCACTTGGCTGAGTGCGTGGTGTTGTAAATCGTCGAGTGCGTTACGACTAACGCGATCGGCAGTATGGTGAAACAAAGTGAACGTATACTACAACGAAATTCATGGCCATACCAAACTTATCTTACGCATCCAGAAAGAGGTTGTGAGTCTCTCTTTCGCTATCTCTCTCGGCCATATAGAACTTATCTCACGCCACAAGAAAGAGAATAACAGTCTCTCTTTCGCTCTCTCTAGCCTGAGGTTCGCCTGTGAACCCCTGCGGGGCGAGGTAGTGAGGACGTTGCACGACGTTCCTCTTATCTATCCTTCTCTCTCTTAGTGAGAACTATTTACTGCGTCTATCTCTTTGTTATCCTTGATATATATATGTTGTTATATCACAGTGTGAATAATAGCGTTACCGATACATCTATCAATTGTATAATCCTTTTCAATTCAGCACTATAGAAACGGCTCTTTCTCGTTTGATAATTACTGCTACTAGTAAGGATTAAAAATTGTCATACACGAATGTAACGAAGTCTATTCTTTCTTTACACTTGCACGTTCAACCAGATATCCGAATGCAAACATTGCCAGAGAATAACAGTAGCTGAAAGAGATTGTAGGGTTGGCGCCTTTGGCCCCGGCTACGTGCGCTTTACGACAGCTTTACGTCATGCATGCCACATACCTTGGCGCTTTGTCGAGGAGTAAATTGCACTTTTGGTCGTCTTCGCACACCACCAGGTTGATGTCAGCCTGATTGATGATATACGCGCAGGCGTCCGGGCCCAAGGTGTCGTACAACGGCACCACCACGAGGGAATACGCGTAGCATGCTTGCTCGGTGAGGATCCACTCGGGACAGTTCTGACTGTACAGGCCTATAAGGGTTTGCGGGCCAGGGGACAGCCCCAAGGACACTAGGCCGGAACCAAAATTTTTCGCCCTGAGCAGCGTCTCGTTGTAATGAAGCCATTGGTAGGGTTTGTTGGGCTCCTCTCTCCACCCGAGACAAGGACCATTGTCTGCGAACAAAGGAGCTTCTGTTGAGTTTGCTTGAGCTCTTCGGACTTCGACGAGATCGCTCCGCGGCGGAACCGGGAAGTCGCTTCGCTTATCTTCGGTTTATCTTCGGATAAAGAGACAAGTGTTTAGATGCGGGACATTGGGAAGCGAAGATTCTCCGGAAGGGAAATCTCACTGGATTGTATTCGTCGGGAACGAGCTCTCGTTCTACAAAAGCAGCGCGTTTATTGAAAATCGAACCGGATCTTTTGGCCCCGACCAATTAGAAGACACTTTGTTCCCACGCGCAGGGGCTGCGAGGGAGTCTCGAGGGGGTGGAATAACACTCGCGATTGGATCTGTCTTACGTCGTATAGGGCGCAGCGAATGAAATCTAGTGAATTTGATGAATTTGTCTTCCGCAAAGCGTTACACAAGCGACAGTCCTCATCACATCGACGTGAAACGGCAAACGAGGGCATGTACCGGGTACGTGCCGGCGACGATAGCCGTCGTCGTAGGACGTAACTCCCGGCGATTATCGATTATCTTTAGACACGTCATTGTCGTGGTCATCGCCGTCGTAGTCGTCGTTGATACGAGCCGCGCGTAGAGCCGCGACAGGTGTCGGTTATGCGGGCGTGTGGCAAAAATAAGAGTAAATGTACACGCACTCAAAATAGCTGTCAACCTTCGACGCAAAGGTCGTCGAATCGCGGCGGCGGCGGACGCGTGGCAGGAGGGTCGAATATCGCCGCCGCCGCGCCGTCGATAATCCGCGCGCCGTTGAATCGGCCGCTCGTTAGGAAGCCGCTCGCTTGTTTACTGCTTTATAGCGTGACCGTGCCGCGCTTGCCAAACGAGCCGCTAAATCAACGTACGCAATGGAAACGCCTTGTCCCAGTCTTAAATTCATATTTAGACAGGTGTAAATCGCGCGCGCTGGAAACGGCCGCGGACCATCTTTGGGTAACCCGAATCTCGAGTCTTCCTTACTTCCTTACTTCCTTCTTTCTTTTCTTTTCACTTGGACCTAGAGGCGAGTCTTTTCCAACTTTGCGATTTCACGTCGTGAAGAATCGTCGGGTATTCATAAATATCGGTCGGAGCAGAAAGAAGTGCGACAGAGCGATCGCCGCCGCCGGACGATCGATCGAAAGCTCGGCTTAGCCTCGATTGACGCTCGCGAAAGCGTCGCGTCGCCGACGCTAATACGCAAAGAGCAGCTTCGTCTCTCTCCTTTTCTTCTTCAACGTCCCGGGGCACACTTACTGGACTCGTTGGCGCCGCGACGGAAGCCGTCGTAGAGCGTGCGCGTGTCCTCGTATAGGAAACTAACAAACTTGCCATCCTTGGCTTCCTTGTAGAACCTCGACACCCGGATGAGTTCGGTGCCCTGTGAACACAGCGGTAATGGAAGCGGAAACTTGAAACTTGAAAAAGAGACGCGTGAGTCTCTCTCACTCTCTCTCTCTCTCTCTCTCTCTCTCTCTCTCTCTCTCTCTCTCTCTCTCTCTCTCTCTCTCTCTCTCTCCGCTATGAGGTCCAGCGCGTAGTTGGTCACCGAATTACGTAAGGGTAAACGCGCGCACAGCAAGTGCAACGCTAAATTTAGCCGGGCAACGCGGAGCCCGCGTATCGACGCGCGTGCGGAGAGCAGCTGATTACGCGGAGAGCGCGCGGATCGCGCGAGGTGGCCGCGAAGGTGCACGTGTGAGCGAAGGGCACACTGCGCGACCGAAGGGACAGCTCTGTGTGTGTGTGTGTGTGTGTGTGTGTGTGTGTTATCGCAAACGCATTACCGCGCTCTGGCCTATCAAATATCGATCTTGCTACCGACGGACCGACCCCGCGTACGCACGCACGCATTCTGCTTTCGACCGCGACGTGTACGCGCCACCACCCACGTTCCCGATGTCATCATCGGTGAAACTACGAGCCGCGTGCGTGAGCCGAAAACGAGCGAGATGTAGAGCGTACTTTAGTCCTGTCGTAATCTTTCGGATGAAAAGAAAGCAACGAAAGGTCTTACTAGAGCCGCGAAGATGCGCGTCGTGATCTCCGGAGGTGAGAAACGACGGCGATCAAGTCGTCGAGATAAAGTCCTCAAGAGAGCAGTTGATTCCACAGAGGCGACCTCTGGGATTTTTATTCAATCGGTCAATATCAGTAAGAAGATTAATCGATATCGAGGTACATTTCGTGAAATTGAACGGGATGACCTTACCTCCCTTTTCCACCAGAGTATAAATATACGAAAGTGTAGTAAATTTCGACGATCTCGCTTCGGCGGAAGTCCGCTGGATTTTCGCCTCGGTCGCCCTGAAATATCTCACGGAGAGGACTCGTGAAAATTTATTGTGAAAAATACTCTTTCTCTCTCTCTCTCTCTCTCTCTCTCTCTCTCTCTCTCTCTCTCGTGTTTCGATCCATCGCCGCTCACGCGTGCGTTATACGCTATATACGTCCCCGTTATTACGATATTCCTCGACGGCTCGCATTTTTATGACGGCCAAGTCACGAGAGACAGTCACGAGAGATGTCCCGGTGGATTTGAAGCCGCTCGCGCAAACCGCGTATTATACTCGCCGTCCGTCGTCCGTCGCTCTTGAATAGAATAAATAGAATCAAGTGCGGTGTAAATCATAAAGAATACCGCGCGAAGTTTATGCAAACAACGCGTGTATCGAAGAGCACGAGCGCACAATTTATGTCGCTCGTCGCGTCGACTTTTTCTCAAATTTATTTCAATGCTCAGGCAGCGACGGCAGTCGCCGCGAGTTAAAGAAACTGCGAGAAAAATAACTAGGACCGAAATACACCGTAACGTGTGTTTCTATTTCGCGTCTCTCTCCAGCGTTTGCTCTCGCAGCTGCTGACCGACGCCGATATTTCGGCGATGGGGAAGATGATCCAACCAGAATCAGAATCAGAGCCTGTATTCGAAGATCCAACGTTCGACCTCGCCGAGACGAACGGAAGCCCAAACTGGCGCGACTGGCCGATATACACACGGTCCGCTTTTCCGACAGAGAGTTCCTCGAGAAGAAAATATACATCCGAGTCGCGAATTCTCCGAGAGAAGCGATACTGCCAAAAAGGAGCCCCCAAAAGAGAGAGAATCACTTCGGCTCGGTCGTTTCGTGCCGTTCGAATTCATCCTGGCGATCCATCTCGGCGAGATCAGCTGCTCTTCGCGCGAGCGACTCATCGGGACCTCAGCAGGTCTGCTCTTCGGAACCGCGATGTGTCTCGAGCTCCTTCCGCGCTCCGGACGGGATACTTCCCCGGGCAGGAAGACCGAGCGAAGTGAAGAGAGAATGCGGGAAACGTAGTCGGACTCGCGGCTTCCGGACGAATCGTGGTTGCGAGTCGCAGCGAGGCTGAATCTCGCGAGAACGTCTCTCGGGAGAGGAAGAAGACGAAGGGAAAAGACACTGCGTCTTCGGCACCTTGATTGTGTCGGACTGGTCGCTGAGGTCTATCGGCGGGCGAATCGGCTCGTGGGAGAAGCAGCTTGACGACATGCTGCACGTACGTAACACGCACACTCAGCGGGCGCGCCGTCGTCGTCGTCGTCGTCGTCGTCGTCGTCGTCGACGACTCCTCGTCGGGAGATCGACTCTTCGCGCGTGACTTGGTAAACTCGCAAGGTGCGTTCACGTTAGGTAGAGTGGACCACAGATGGACCGGACCATTCGGATCAGCACGTCCGCGACCACTGAATTTTGGCCGCGCTACAGCTTGCGGCCGAGCTTTTGGCTCGAGGCGCGGGTGTCACGCGGACGGCGATGCTGTCGTAGGCACTCTTTGCGATGCTCCCGAAGAGGAAAGATAGAGATAGAGATAGAGATAGAGAGAGAGAGAGAGGGGGGGGGGGGAGGAGATGTAGCGTTGTCAACATCGCTGCTCACCCCGAGTGTGCAACATCCGGATGATCGACCCTGATAATTGGCTTTCCGGATGTAGGACGGAATGCTCGAAATTAGACCGATAAATCGACCGCTCGAACGCGCGTATCAGCGAGCGTAACCAAAATGGGAAACACTTCGAAGTGTGCTGAATTATACGCCGGCGAGTCCGGGAATATTCATTCGACGCCGGCATGAATGTTGAAACGAAACGCAAATTCGCCGTCGGTCGTTGATTGTATTTACGCAGCTTTTTCAGTCATCTAGCCGAATATTTTTCGCATCGTGTCGTCCGGTAGAAGAACGCAGAAGCCGCTGGCGTTGCTCGTATTTTTAAATCCTCGACTTCCTCGACTTCAAACATCGGAATGTGAAATCAAGTCTACTCATTTTTCTATCGTTTTATCACGCACCTTTCATCGCATATTATTTTCGATTCGTTTCTTTTAATATGAAAAAAAAATCAAAAAATAAAATCGAGGATGCTTATTTTCTCTTACTTTCCATCTCGTTGCGCATCGTTTCCGATTTCTTTCTTTTAATGTCAAACGTGGAAGTAAAGTCGCATCTACTTCTCTCTTCTCGCTTCATTGCATATTCATTTTTCTCCCTTCCATTTTGCTATACCATTTTCCTCCGGACCCAAGCTGAGGAATTTATTATCCTCGTAAAATCGCACAATGCCGGTTATCGCGCCTTATTTCGGACAACCCGATATAATCGGAGAAAAATAAAAAATCTAATAAAAAAAGAGTACAATATGGCGTATCTAATTCGTACTGACAACACTCATTGCCGCATGCGTCTCGCGCGAGAAAGAGAGGGAGAAAGAGAGAGAAAGAGAGAAAGAGCAAGGCCCATCCTCCGCAAAGATCCTCGACTGCGTTTAAATATAGTGCGTACGCCGGCGAAGCGGACGTCGTCGTCCTCGACGTTCGACGCCGAGGAGTTTGGATGGCCGCCAACCGATCGGCGACGAGTTCTCTCCTCTTTTGTGCGGCATTTCCTCCCTTTCCTCGTGTCGCTCTTCGCCTTTTGCGTTTTTGCGTTCTGTGGGGGACATCTCCTAAAATACGAGGGGGGCCGGTCTGTCATTACGTTTTACGACGCAGCGGCCGCGAGAAATGTGGCGAAGCCGGAGAAGCGACCACCTAAAGGTTCGCGGATGCTTCATGGATCATCGACCGACCTGCGGACGTAGCGTGAAACTAGGCCGGAATTCTGAACCGAGAATTGTACATACAGTTGGCGACCTTGAAGAGAAAGCGGCCTTGGAAGGAAGAAGAATGAACGTTCTGTGGCCTCTTCCCGAAAGAACCGAAGAAACTTCGGTTTTCGGAAGAGAGATGAAGCAAGAAGAAACTCCGCTGAAAGTCATAAAATCGACCGGAAAGTAAACACGTGGCAACATCACTGGAACATGACGAAATTGAGGAACAACTCTCGACAGAAACGGTAACCTGTTAGAACGTCCCGGGAACTTCCCCGCGTCGTTCGGAGAATGCTGAGCGTTTTAATAGGCTGACGCACGTCTCGCGGACGTCTGATAAAGTGGCAAGAAATCGTTTGGATCTCGTCGACGCAAACACGCCGCGATTGATAACACCGAGACGCTGCTGGACGCTTCTCAATCGGCACTTATCGAGAAATATTATCGAGATTATCAGCGGCAACGTCAACGAGATACGGTATGCGAGATATTCCCGAACAATTACGAAGGATAACAGGCAATTGTGTCGGGTGTGTGTTTACTAACACGTAATGTGCTTAACGTCGCTTCGAGTCGTTCAATGAAGCAATCGAATCGGTAGCCGCGAGCATCGTCTTATTCCCCCCGACGCAAAACGTCGCAACACACACACACACACACACACACACACACACACACACACACACACACACACACACAGCCGGCGGAGACGGACTGTGACACACAATGTGTAAGCGACTGCAAGGGCGCAAGAGGTGCGAGAGATCGGTTTCCGCGCGGGGAACGCGGTTATATAAATAAATCGGTGATTTCGAAGAGCGAGTATCGAGTTCGCCAAAATCGATACTCTCTTGCGACGTCAGTACGTCAGAGGGTGCGAAGGCAAGCTTATGTAAACAGATACACAGACAGTCGAGACAGTAGGGGAAGGTCGGCAGCAGCCGAGCGTGGTCAGGCTAAGCTGGAAAAAGCTCGTTATACTTGTAGACAGGCTTCAAAAATAACTGCGGCGAAGGTGTTTTAACGACCGGCAGTACCTCGCTAAGAGATATTCCGCTCTCTCGTGTGTGTTATTACACGGCCGGCCGCGTAAGTTTCTTCCGATGAATGAAGCCGCGGCGCAGCGACGGTGAGCGCGCAACCGAAGCCCATCGTCGCGGTTACTATCAGCATTGCGGCTGATTCAAAACGCGCGGGAAACGCGCGCGATGCTGGAAGACGCGACTCTCTTTGTCGTTGATCCTCAGGTCAAATTATACAACTTCGGATAATACGTCGACAGTCGTCGCTTCTAGCGGCGAGTCTGCTCGCTCTCGTGCGCGAGAATCGCGACGCGGATGACTTGCTGATTATTCCGCGAAGAATTTTCCACACGCACGCAGTCGCGTATCTTTCGATTCGGGATCAGCTGACCCGTGAGACCTCTCTGATCGTGTCTGAGCGTGTTCAATCGATTCTGCGATGTCGACGTACAAATTTACGGTCAAGTCTGTCACGTCAGTGTAGAAGCGCAAACTTCGTTTAATACGTACTTCGCGACAGCCCGTTTTGTAGCCTCTTTCTTTTCAGTCGCACGTAATCGCGCCAATAACAACAGTTAATGATAGCGTGTTATGGAGAGACGAGTTTGTAAAAGTACGAGTTTGAGACGATTTGCTCCCGTCTCGACTAGAGACTCGCATGAATATATAAGAGCCGCGGGATAAACGAGTAAATTGCGAAACACGAGTGAAGTAAAAACCGCGCGATGGCCCGCATTTGACACGTCTCTCGTTCGATTTCACTTACGTCGAGCGTGAGCTACACATCTGAAAACGCCCATTTGCCAGAGAATTCCCGACGACTGTCTAAAATAAGCGGGTACGATTGCAAAAGTGTACAAACAGTTCTGGTTGCTATGTTAATTACGACATGTCAATTATAATGTCACGACATTATCGACAAAGCACCTTATCTTATCACGACCTTAGCATGCCGCTACTGATATGTTAACTGCTAGCTACAAAACATTTCGCGATGATATCAACGACACGTGCAACCTCGCGCGCGCGCGCGCGAGAGAGAGAGAGAGAGAGAGAGAGAGAGTGAGAGAGAGGGGGAGGGTGGAGAGAGGAAGAGGAGAGACTGCCAAAAATGAGAAAGTAGACCGCGAGATGAGGTTTCGCTTACCGGTAACAAAATTGCCTGAGCGTCGAGCGGAAACAGCGGTCTCTCAGCGGTCGGTCTGGAAGCCCAGTAAGCCGCAATCCCGGTGGCGATGAGGGCACCGGCCGCGCCGCCCAAATACGGCAGGTAGTCCTCGAGTTGAGACTGTAACACTTCGTTTAAGATCGTTTGAACCGTTCGAGAGAAAGATTGCCAAGCTTACATAACGCCTCTCGACGACGTTACCTTCATGACTATTTGCAGAAACGTGCAAACGTACTCGTCGCAAGTCGGCCGACGATTTGGACGACACACGACGGCGATCTATTCCGCCGCCGGTCGATCGGCGCTCCCAGCTCGGTTATATCGGTACGATCGATAAGCCGATAACGAGATTCGGACTAAGCGAGCAGTCGAACCCGGCAAAGTGTTCGCGGGGCAAAGTATACGCGTGACATGGATTCCGACCGATCTCGGTAGGCGATGACCTATAGCTTCATTATCGCACGAATTGCAGCTATCTGCGACGGAGGGAACAATCCGTACGTGACTGTTGGACCGTATGTATTTGTGTCGCGTCGTACACTTGGCGATAGCGATACTAATATAATCTCGAACGTGGAAGAACGGAAGGGCGAATGAGTGAGCAAATGAACGAACACGAGAGAGAGAGAGAGAGAGAGAGAGAGGGAGGGAGAGAGAGAGAGAGAGAGAGAGAGAGAGAGAGAGAGAGAGAGAGAGAGAGGAAAAAAAGAGAGGGACAGAGACGGAGACGACGGACCGACAGATGCAGAGAAGTAGCAGAAAACGAACGAGCGAGCGAGCGAGCGTGCGAGCGTGCACGCGATGCCAGCACACGCGGCCGGAGATCGTACGACGCGCCTACCTCCCTCACTCACGCTCGGACGAGTTCCTCGGTCGCCGAGGTAGAGAGTAGCGGCGGTGTAGTGTAATATACTCACTGGTGCACAGCAGAGACGTTAAAGCGACGGCAATGTAAATGAAAAAATGTGCGCCCGCTTCGTAGTCCTCCGGTCAGTTCTGCGTGAAGAGAAGCGCCGTGTCTCTTTCTTTCTTTCTTTCTTTCTCTCTTTCTCTCCCTGCCTCTCTCTCCCTCTCTCTCCCTCTCTCTCTCTCTCTCTCTCTCTCTCTCTTTCTCTCTCTCTCTCTCTCCCTTTTCCTCTGGCCGAGACTGTCCGCCGAAAAGAGAGAAAGAGAGCACGTTTTCGAGGTTGATTCGCTGCGAGGCGAATTCGAGGCACAGAGCACTGAATGCGATTAGACGACGACGGCGGCACCAGGGTGGTCGGCTCGGGCCAGAGGAAGCCTCAGGTCAGGGCCACGGCATGACACTGCCTTCCTTCGCCGAGAGATCGCCGAATTTTCCTTCTCGCCACGCACTCGGGCTCGCGTACGTTGCGGAGCCTCAGTGGCGTATACTCGACGGCGCCATGACGTCACCCCGCCGCCGTGGCGAATCGATGCCGGACGGCCCGGCGGGTGCTGCGACGACCCTTCGCCACCGCGGCAGCCACCCCATCGTACGATTGCTTCCCCCTCTGGTAAGGGTCGGCGCATGCGCGTCGACTGCGCCGCCGATGTGGCCGCCGCGCTGAGCGCCGTCCGGCGAGATATGGAACGTGCTCTCCCTCTCTCTCTCTCTCTCTCTCTCTCTCTCTCTCTCTCTCTCTGTCGCGCACCGATGTTATCGGTATACACGCACCTTTGCGCAATGCTTTGCCGCGGAATGACGATAACTCGTGGTATGGAAAAGGTATTTCTCAACAAAGATATGATTGGTATTCTGTCGATGTCTTATCGATGTCCACTTTCTCCGTTTCTTAAGAAATGTGGATATTTTTAAAATTCCCCAACATGCCTCTGTAGGTTGCTCCTTTTTTTGACTTATCTTATCTTTCGACAATCAACAGCGGACTGGGCAGCAAGGTTCTTGTTTGATTTAATTTACCTTGTTCGTCTCTGACAAATCCAATCCTAACGATCGATTAGGTCCTAACGATATCGATTAGGCAACTTTTGAACTAGATACATTGGCGTTATTCGTTGAAGAATAACTTTATGTTCTCGAGATGAGTTGTTTGTACGGAGCGATGTCCCTCCGATAATCAAAGGTAGGTGTCGTTAACGCAGTTGGCCGGTGACGCCGCAGCTGACAAGGTAAATGAGTACGCAGAATCGCTCGGTCGAGTGGTAGTCTGCGGTTGATAAGAGGATTCCAGGCGGTAAGTTCGAAAGCCTCCATTGGCGGCTATTTGGAGAGCGTTCTCCTTCATGCAGAACACTCACCTCCGAAGGCTCCAGCGCTCGCAGTTCAAAAGTGGAGCGGTATCGGCAACGTTCGATCTAGTCCGAGCCGGGAATATGCTTCTGCGTCCGCATACGAAGAGCAGAGGCAAACTGGTTGAGCAAAGAAGTCACGCGGACGGGATTCGCACGCTATATCTCGGCTTTTATCACGCGGAGGAACCTCGCGGAACGAGCTATATAATTATCATCAAGTAACTTCAAGTGACCGCGCCAAGTGAACATCGATATAAACGATCGTGTACTCTGCAAGTGTCATCCTGCGAGTCTCCTTCAAGTTGACCCGAGAATTCAAGCCGGATATCTCGCCATGCGAACTTCAAGCTATTGGCTATTGTTAACTGCGTGCACCCTCTGCGTGTACTATTTGTGGAAGTGCGGCTCAATCAGCTACTGGAGCTCGAGCATGAGCGCCAAGGCGCTCAGCTACTTCGACCTGCCGATCCCGTCGTCACTTGTCTCGTCGTCGTCGTCGTCGTCGTCGTCGTCGTCGTCGTCGTCGTCGTCGTCGTCGTTGACACCGCGTCGACCTTCCTTCGACTCGGCGCGCTGGCCACACGGCAAGACCTTGTCCGAGTACATGCTACAGCTCTACCACCGACGCCCAGACACCGACATCGTCAAGGCGATTCAACCGTCGCACATCTCCAAGCCGCTGAGTGACGGCGGTAGAATTCTGGAGTTTACGATTCCACCGGTCAACAGCCGCCGCAGTTTGGAGGCGGCGGAGTTGCTTGGGATAGCCGGTGCGATAGTCAGGGTGCGATTGTTCCACGACGCTACGACGAGGAGCGCCGACACGCCGAAGATCCTGCAGTCGCGGAAGGATGACATTTGGCGCGCCTTCAACGTGACGTCCGCCGTCGCCGGCAGGAGCAACGACACCATCAGGCTCAACGTACACGGCAGGTTGACCTACCGTCCTTACGGCGACGTCCCGATCCTCCTGTTGAACTACAGCAAAACCGACCTAGCCCCTCGCCAGCGGCGATCCGTGCGCACGGAGCAGGAGCGGGATCAGGAGAGCGAGCGGCGGCCGAGAGACAACTTCAGCCACAGACGACGTCGGGACAATTGTCGCCGGAGTCCATTGTACGTGGACTTCTCGCTGATCACCTACGACGAATGGATCGTCGCACCGCCCGGTTACGAGGCTTACCAATGTGTCGGCAAGTGTTTCTTTCCGTTGGCCGACCACCTCAGCCCGACCCAGCACGCAATCGTGCAAACCAAGTTGCACGGGGCCCTTCAGCACCTTCCAAGAAACAAGAACATGAGCGACAACAAGATCGTCGGTCGAGCGTGCTGCGTGCCGACCAAGTTGACGTCCATAAGCTTGCTTTATGTGGGCGACGCAACAAACTCGGTAACTTATGAGTATGACTTTCAGGACATGGTCGTTGTCGAGTGCGGTTGCCGTTGACACGGAGGTCGCGGCTCTTCCTCTTTATTGTGGTGGTGGCTCTTGTGAAAGTCTCGAGTGGAAGTGTGAGGAACGCATATTAAATAAAAAGAAAAATACATATGGATACCGACACGAATCGCGGAAAGTCGAAAGCGAAGGCGAACATTGTGCCTCCCAATCGAAACGCGCCAAGTATCATTAAGTAGGTAATCGTTAAGTCGTCGGAGAGAGTCCATCGTATTTGCCGTAAGCAAGTTATAAATTATGTTAAACGTAATTAGATTGTAAGGAGAAATTTGAAAAAAATTATTATCGTATAAATGGTCGAAATATTAAAGTTAGTTTTTTTTTCCAAATTTATTGCAGCCGATAATGTCAAAGGGATTAGAAAAAAATTATTATTCTATAAATGATTAAGACAATTATCCAAGATCGAGTCTGATCAAAGTTAGCTTTCCGAATTTATTACAGCTGATAACGTCTCTCTCTCTCTCTCTCTCTCTCTCTCTCTCTCTCTCTCTCAGCAACTAAACAAAATGAAGTTTAGACTAAACAAAATGAAGTTTAGGCTTTCAAAATGAAGTTTCTTAATAGACGGCGGCCTTCGAGGGCCACCCGCTGCCACTAAAGAATAAAGACGACATATTTTCCCGAAACGTCAACGAAATCTCCATTTCTCCATCTGGCCACAATGGACGTCCTGTTGTAGCGAGATTGAACTGCGCGTCGTTAAGTATTGTTTTGTAAATTTCCGTAGACACAAACACACAAACGCTACCGTGTATCATCACGCTCGTCAGAGCCTGCGCTCTCGAGAGTCCGCGCATGGTGATGCGCGAGTATCACCATGCGCGAGGAAAGAGTAGAAAAAGAAAGGAAAAAACGATAAAGTCTCTATCACGATCACCGGTACGTCGACGGGAAGAGTCAATCACCGGACACGCGCGTCCGGACGGCGCGCGTTAGCTGAACGCCTTCGCGCACATCTCGTTGTTCTTCTGGTTGAGCAGGTAAGACCGGCCGGGCGAGAGGCTCCTCGACCGACGCGTTTTCCTCAGCCGGTGCCGGCTGCCGGGTATTCGCTCGATCTTGTACACCTGGTGCTTCACGGTGGTCGCCGGCTGACTCAGCCGCATGCACAACGCCACCTGGCCGTAGAAGTCCACGTCGGTGGAGAGCTCGAGTTTCGGCTCCATCGTCATCGAGAACTCGGCCTTGCTCTGGACGAAGCTGGAGCGCACCTTGCTGCCGCCGTGGACCATCACGCCCGCGTTCATCTCCACCAGGGAGTGGGCGTTCCTCGACCACAGGCTCAGCTGGATCTGGCCGGCCAAGTCGAAGCTCACGGCACCCTCCACGTCGAGCTCGGCGACGAAGCCGGATCCCAATGGCACGTGCTCGCTGTAGCTGTACAGCGAGCTGAGAACTTGAAAGGCGGGAGTCCTCTCGGACGCCGTGCCCGACCACACGTGGCTCATCAGCTCGCTCTGGCCTGAGAAGAAGACGAACGGCCGCACGCCGACGCCCAGTATGTCTATCTCCATCCCGGCGGTAGTCACCTCGTTGTCCTCTTGAGCCTTCTCAGTATCTTCTTTATTGCTGGAGACGAAACCACCGATGCCGAGGCCGCCAGCGAATAGTCCCAACGAGAACATCGCTTGCTGCTGCTCGTTGGTCTCCAGCACGACGTCCACGATGCCGCGCTTCAACAGGCCGAGATTTACCTCCTGCAAGGTCAGCAGGGAGCCGTTGCTGTCGGGCGAGCGCAGGAAGCTCCTGCTGAAGGCGAGGCTGAGGCCTCTTTGCGCTCGCACGTGATAATTGTTCACATTGTCGTTCACGTAAGCGTTCCTCAGGTAGCCGGCGAAGCGCTCGTCCGTCTCGGCGATTTGCTCCAGCCGTTGACTCAGATACTTGCGGACCTCGTAAGCTCGGTCCCACCCGGCTAGGTAACTCACAAGCTCGCGTATCACCTCCTCGGAGGGCTCGTTCTCGAGGATGATGTTCAACGCGAGCGTTCGCGCGCTGCTGTCCCTCCGCGGCCCCCCGATCTGGTAGAACATCCTCAAAGCGGCGTTCTTCACCTCGTCGCTCACGGCTTTCCGCGGCAGAACCGCCAACGCGCGCCATGCGGCGACGCTGATAGCGCGGTTCTCGCTGAACGCGTATTCGAGTAGCGTGGGGATCGCGTGCGGGCTCCTGAGGTTGCGCAGCGCTCGCAAGAACTTCAGCTTGCACTCGTCGCCGGTGCACACGCTCAGACCGAGTTCCAGGCTGACTCGCGCCTTCTCGATCGCCGACGGTGAGCCATAATGTCGCATCATCGCGCCGGCCGTGAGCGCGTACGTCTCGGACACGTGGTCGTTCTGCATCGTCTCCTCGGAGCGTCTCAGCACGTCGCTGGCGACGTCGATGTGCGGCCTCGGCGACAGCGACAAGGCCCACAGGTATCTCTCGGTCTCGTCGCCGCTCTCATCCTGCCGCAGGATCTTCATCGCCGCCTTGTGGGCGGCCAACGTCGAAGCGGAACCGTAAATGTCCAACAGCTGCATCCTGGCCTGCCTGTAGCGCGGTGTCTTGAGGACTTTGTACAGCTCCTCGGGCAAGGCGTCCTTGACTAGAGGTAGAAGTTTGAGAAAAGCCGACGCGGACCGAGCCGTGCCGAGCGCGCCGACCGTCAGCGCTTCGTGGTGTTTCTCGATCGTCTGGTCGATCTGCAAGGTAGATCTCAGTCAAGTGAGGACATTCGTGAGAGAATAAATTCGCGCCTGCGAATGCGCGAGGTCTTTTGCGGCCGATTCCCGACGCGGGAAGGTCTCAAAACTCTCATTCTGTGCGCGCGCAAGAAAGACCCGTTTTAATCCAAGATCTCTATTATTTTTCATTAATTCATTAATTCAGAGAGATGCACCGACATGCACACTCAATTTTGCCGCCGATCTTGAATTTCACCATCGGGAAATATAACGAGGACATTACTGTGTATGCGAATAATATTCACAAGAAATTCCGCAAGAAGAAAGAGAGATCTCGTCGTATACGATTGACAGATGTATTTTTTCATTGTTTATTATTAAATCAGTATTTCCTGACTCGGATCAGTTCATACCTCAAGAGGAGGATACCCTCGGAGGGGTTTAAAGGTAAACGATCAACGTAATAAAAATAATAAAAATAATAAAAAAGTTAACAAAAAAACCCGTCATCAATATGAATTGGATTGTCAAAGAGGACACTCTAATGCCTCCATAGAGTTCCCAAACATGCAGGAACTTTCCGATGGTGGACAACTTGAGAATTTTTTCCTTGCGCCTTCCATCTACCGTCCGACGAGAATGAGAAACACGAGGGAAACACGCTGCAGAAATTTACCGTGGGACAACCGACGTCAGGACACGTGTCGCTGGGTTCCAGCTGGAGATCGATATGCGTCTCCGAGTATCCGGGCTGGAGGAGCGCTATGGCTTGCTTGACGGTGTCCGCCTGGACCACGCTGGTCCAGCTCAGCGGCTGCGGCAGCTGCTCCAGCGTCCGCTCCGACAGCACGGTGGTGCCGACGTCCGACTTGGACGTCAAGGTCATTCTATGCGCCTCGTGCTCGACCACGCGCTCCGGCAGCAGCGAGTGCGTCAGCACGTACGTGGCGTTGCGGGTGCTCGCTAGCTTCACGTCGAACACCGGATTCGGGTGCAGCCTGCTCCGCGGCAAGATTCTCTGCGCGCAGCCGGTCTTCTGCTTCTGGATGATCTGCGGTCCCAAAGACACGTAGGTCACGTTGCAGAGGCCGGACGCGTCGTTCTGGCGAACGTGCTCATCGTCGAGCGTGCGATACTGGAAGAGACTGGCCAGGCCGCGCTTCAGGTTCATGAACGACACGCTCTCGGTCACGTCCATGTACAGCGCCTGGACGTCCCCGTGCCGCCAGGTCACGAAGAACGGTTTCTCGCCGGTCTCGCCCACCTTCGACGAGTGCTCGACGAAGCCCTCCGGCTCCGGGGCGCACCGGGATTTGATCCACAGCTGCGGCGACGACAGCTGCAACGAATGAATGTTCGCGCTCACGTTACGCAGTTGTCTGACTTCCTCGCAACGGCATGTCAAAATTGCTCGACTTTTGCTTTCGCTCTTAATATATCGATTCATTCAGACGTCTCTCCGCAAGAGACGTGAGACTGCTCAACGCGAAATTCGTCGATCGTTATCTGAGGGATTTTTTTCGCTACCGCTACCGGATACACAGGGTTATCGTCACGTTATATGTTGATGCATTTTTATCTGTTTTTATCTGTAATAATATGTGAAAATAAGACTGCTTAACGTGTGTGAAATGTACTGTGTGTGATTGATTTATCAACGGACTGCACTTGAGAAGAATCTCCTTTCCTTCGAAGGATACGCGGCGCGCGGGAGATTCTTTTATCACTCTCGGATACGGGGTTATCGTCATTGTGCAGACCCTGGCTCTCCGTATCGATGCTCTTGCTCAACGATATATTTTCGTCGAGGTGCGTCTCCTCTGCGGCGCAACCTTTCTATCTTTAGCGTAGACAATTCTTTGAAAGCTGAAATCATTAATATGACCATCATGGACGTTCCGTTGATACTGTAATGTTGATTCAAACTGCTTACGCAAAATCATAAGATTACACGGAGAGGAGAGAATGGAACTCTATATCCATATGGAATATACAGTCTGTAAAGTAAGAGCATGCACGGCATAAATGGCAGTTGGCTTCAAATATCGTCCTAGTTTTTTGTGAGCCGATAGATAAAAAGATCTTTGTCGTGAATGCTGTGTCACAAAAGATTCAGTTGAACTCTAACCTGAGAAACACGTTAACCGCCATGAGTGCCGTATACGCATCGCGCTACGCTACGAAACTGTGTTCCTTTGTTCCCCCCCCCCCCAAAGGACCAAAAATGTCACATGCAGTGGCTGCTAAGTGTTAAATACATGGAAAAGTCAAGATCGTTCGTCGCTAAGTGGGTTCAGCAATATAAGAAGATCAAAAATGTCGATGACCACGAAGACGTCGTATTTATTAACGTGTCGAACTCAAGCGGAATTAATCGTGATATTAATGCGGACAGAATTTTGCATAATGACGGAATCACGTGTGATCTTAGGTGCCTCTGCGTATTGATACTTTTCGTACAAAAATCTCCTTTCAAACCTGAGGAGAGAAGCGACATCCTCGAAAGCTATCGTTTTCAAACGGAACAATTGAAGCACGCGTGCGCATTAAACTTCAACCTTGTAATTTGAGCTAATACTTTGAAAATTATTTAGATCAAAGGACGCGCTTTTCCGGTCCTTTGATTTTCACAAAAATATTGTCAAGGGCATGAATAACTTCCAGAAGATTCTGCTCTCGACGACACTTATAAAGATTAAAATCACCGGAGTTGCGTAATCATCGCATGATCAACAATAATGAAGTATTTTCTCTCTCTTTTGAAATCAGAGCCGGGATGTGACCTGAACTCCGCGATCGACCGAGGAAACCGGCGCCGAAGCCCTCTAGTCGCGGGACGTTCAAGACATCCCACACGGTGCTGACAACGTCGAGAGTCATACCTCAAACTTGAGCAGAAAGACATCAGGATCAGCAGGATCCCGCCACACAGCGATTACGTCCAGCTCGCTGGTCAGCCTGAAGCCGACGTCTCCTCCGGATTTCAGCGGTACCGCTTCCCTGAAGAGAAGCGTGGTCGTCAGCTTGTACCTGTGCCCGCTTCCTGCCTCCCAGCCCCTGGTGGCACCGGCCACCGCTGCAAGAATGACGCATAATGCCCAAGGCACGTTGATCATCGTCGAGAACCGCGGGAAATCGTCGCGCTACTATGTACACCGGTTGCTGATATTATCAGCACGAACACGAGCGACAATCGCGTCTGGAATGGATACTGCCGGACACTCGACGACGACAGCAACGTGATCAACAACGTGACCGATCGCGAGCCGCGCGTCGACTGACAAGCGCTCCCAGACAGCAGCGCGCAGAGATTGCTCCTCGCTCGTTGGGGAGGACGACAGATCCGAGACCGAGTACCGAGCTCAGGAGGAACGCAGCGCACACACGCGGTGCGTGTGCGTGTGCGTGTGCGTGCGTGTGAGCGCGTGTTACGCGCCGCGACGGAGTACCGTTAATTCACATGGAGTCCCTGTTACACGACGCTCGAGCGACGAGAAACGGACTTTCGAGTGGGAGGTCCTTGTTCTCTCTTCTTCCGAGCTGTCCCGACGAGACCGGCCGACTCGGTATGTCAAATGACTCGATTACTTTCGATCGGTTATGATCTTTTGTCCACGTGGACCGCACTCCAAAGCGGTTCGAACCTTTTTCTTTCGGAAGCAGTTCGGAACATGCGACTAATGTCCGACGAGAGAACGTGACTTCTGGGAACGTTTCAGAAACAAGTTCTCATAGCGGACCCGGCAGCAAGGTTCGTTCGACGAAGCTTATATTTCGAACGCTGTTAAATGGAACAAAAAAAGATCCGACTGGTTTATTCGTCGCTTTGTAACGTCAAACGCGATCCTACGCGAGATTGGTTATAATAATGCGATATCCTCCCTCCTTCGTGAGAGCTTTACGGAACACGAAGACGGTTGCTTCGACGAGCAATTACCTGGCGCCATTTGACAGTAGGAATCTGAAACAGAAAGGCACAGAAAACACGGTATAAACCCAATAATTCACACGTGGTCGATGTGTCAGACAAATGCGTTGCTCAACAGTTCGCGCATTTGTCTGTCCGTTCTTTCTCGCTGCTGCGCGAAAAGCCGCGTTCGACGCGCGGCGAAATTCCCGCGCGCTGCGCAAAACGCGCCGCGACTGGGTGCGCGTGCGAAGGCGGTCGCGCTGTGCGCATGCGCCAAGCGACATCAAACTGGCCCGAAATTGCATTTATGAAATGTATGTAAGTAGCCGCATTGCAAAAGGAATCGCCCGCCTCCGACGGGCTCCTCACGAGCTCGGATTGTTCGCAGCGGTGCGAAAATACGCGATCGTAACCGGAAGCCCCGCGGAAGTCGATCGTGAGTCGACCGCGCGAGTAGCGCGTTAAGTCGTAAACTTGCGTCGTCTACGTTGTGTAATTCGAGTCGCGCGACTCGCTGAGGAAGCAGTCGAGGTAGTATTTTTACGCGGTGCCGCTTCAATCCTCCGTCCGTGGTATACGGGCACATGCTTTCGCTATCTTCGAGCCCATATCTTGAAATACCGTATCGGTACTTAATTGTCCGCCATTATCAACATACTTGACAACTTGGTGGAATAATCGCCGTATACTCCGTTAGAACGTTACGAGGCGATAACGTACGGAGACCTCGTTCGAATTTTCCGTTTCGTGTTTTAACCGTCGAAAGATCCTCATTGAATTTTTACATACATTTGACGACAGTGATGTAACTTACACAACGACAGTCGCGTTGTCGCTGTGTAAGTTAATGTATTAACGGTAAATTTTTGTGATAGCAGATAGCGATAATGACATTGTCGTTAGAAATTACGGGATATACCTACCGGCGCAGATACGACGCATCGTACGATCCGTTGCAATCGGAATATTCGTTCTCGCACGCGGACACGCGGGTGTCTGCGCGCGTGTCTACTTTTAATCGGCGGCGATCGCGTGAAAGTCGCGCGCTTCTCTTCACCGTGTCGAATCAGCGTACTTAACAGTGCATGTAACATGTACGTTTCGCACATCGTGCGCAACGCTCCGCGCCTCATTCCCCCTTTCTCGCCCCTTTCTCGCCCCTCTCTCTCTCTCTTTCTCTCTCTCTCTCTCTATCTCTCTCTCTCTCTCTCTCTCTCTCTCTCTCTCTCTCTCTCTCTCTCTCTCTCTCTCTCTCTCTGTCTCTCTATTTCTGCTTCGTACGGTCATCGTCGGAATGATCGGGACACTTCGCACAGACTCTGATTGTTGCGACCTTCGATTTAAATCCAAAACGAAGCGACCACTCAGCCGACCGACTACTCAGCCAGCTACGCTCCGAATCACGAGGACCGGTTCAACGGAGCATCGTGCGCTCCTTCAATGGAATCACGTTACCGTCGGCTCATATGAATGGCTCCCGGGTCGGTCGGGTAACGTGACCTCCGTGAGGAGCAAGTGGAAATCTACGGCTGAGCAGAGTGGCTGGAGGGGCATAGTGCAACGAAACAGAAGTAGAAGAGGTGGAAGGACAATAATGACGGCAACGAGAGAGAACGAGAGGCAGAGCGAGAGAGAGAGAGAGAGAGAGCGAGAGAGAGAGAGAGCGAGAGTGAGAGAGAGAGAGAGAGAGAGAGAGAGAGAGAGAGAGAGAGAGAGAGAGAGAGAGAGAGAGAGAGAGAGAGAGAGAGAGCGGAGCAGGGGCTCCAACATAACTGGCGGATAACTCACCGAGGAGGGTCAGAAGATAGATGAGGCAGACAGTGAGTTTCCTGACCGACCCGCCGTCCCGACTACGACCGGCCATCCTTTTCTCGCTCCTACCGTCGTCCATGAACTGCACGTCGTAGTCGCGGACGTAGCTGTTCCCGTTCGCTCTTCCTCTCTCTCTCTCTCTCTTTCTCTCTCTCTCTCTCTCTCTCTCTCTCTGCGGGTAAACACGAATAATTAGACAGAACGAGCCTGCGTTATCGTGGTAGGCCGAGTTTCTTCTCCTCCCCTCCCGCCCCTGTCGCCGGTTGCCGATGAACCCATTCCCCTACCGGGACTACTACTAGCGGGTTTTTCACTCGTCGTTCCCCACGTGACTCGTGGATCAAGGGAAGAGGAGAGGTAAGTAGAGTAGTATCGGCCACGGTACGTACTCGTCACTGATACCGGACTCTCGGACGGACGGAGCCACTCCGTGTCGTCGACGACTGCTCTCGCGGCTCCTGTAAACCCCACATACACACACACACACACACACACACGTACCCACACACCCGCATACATATGTGTGTACATGTCACACTGGACACACTGTGTAACATCGCGATCGCACGGCCGCATAATTGTGACCGTAATCTTTCCATAGCCGCCGCAGAGAGAGAGAGAGAGAGAGAGGGGGGGGAGGGACAGAGACACCGAATAAAGAGAAAACCTCTCTGCGGGTACCGGAAACCGGCTAATTCGCCCGATCCGGACTGGTGACTGCACGCACAGACTGCAGAACAGGCAGAGGCTCAGTCGCCCGTGCGCGCTTTTCTCGGGCCCGACGTGGGATCGCTTTTCTCTCCTGGAAACGCTCTCGTACTCATGGATTCTTTTTTTCTTTTGTGCGCGTCCACGCACAGCGTAGTGCAGCGCGTAGTGAAGTTCTGTTCGAGTAAAGCCGGATTCGCACTACCGGTCTCTGCCGGCGGCAGTCGTCGAGTCTTTTCCAAATTCATTTTCTTTTTTGCTAGGAATACCTGAGATGTGACGCGGGTGTCCGCGAATCCCGATGCAGGATCCCATCGAAGGACCTTTTTTTAAACTGTACATAGTCTTGCCGAGTCTTACCGGTGTAAGAAAGAAGGGAAAAGAGATTTAAGGAGATTTCATTTCGATGATTGATCGGTCTCGAGCGTCAAACTATCAAGAGCAGGTAAAAGACGAAAGGTCAAAGGAGAAGGTTAGTTCACTCCTGAAACTCGATTGAATCAAGCCTTGAGGTCTCATCAGGGACGACCGACCGCGACGTCCGATTTCCGGTACGGAAGGAAGGTGGAACGCGTCGGTAACTTGGAGGCACTGCACGAACGTACTCACGCACGATAGCAGCCCTACGTAGATCCGTTTTTCCGGCTGTATTCTTGCTGAGGAACGAGAGCAGGTGTGATCTGTCGAGCGCGCTTCTCTCGATAGCGAAGGAAACAACTAAACCAGAAGTCGAATCGTCGAGCGAAATGTTACGCGTGTAAACGTGATAACACACGTCATGAAACTACTAGGCAATCATTTATCCGTTTCTGTTCGTTCGTTCGCTCGTTCGTAAGGTCAACTACAACTACGTTCAAAGCAAACGGTAGAACGCTTCTGGAAGCATCCTTATCAATTAGCCCGACCTTTGAACCCGGGATAACACCGACCGGCACCATCACTCGTCGGCGGACATCTCCTACCTCGCGACACTATCCTTTTTAATTCTTGAATTTTCGAATGATGCGATGTTTCGAACTGTGGAATGTCAACTGTCTCGATGCCCGTCATCGTCGTCGCAAGCTTATGAATTTCCGGTCACTCGCAGAATCGGCGACCTTGGAATGAAAGAAAACGACGGATGTGCCGCGATAAACTCCGCGACTTGAGCACGGACTTGACGTCATGTGTGTTGTGATTGTGAATTGAAATCTGCAATGCTGCGATTTCTTTTTATAGCTATTCCGGTATTATCTATGTTATTATTATTACTATCAACTGTCATCACAACTATCATCACGCACGAGCGCGTTGGTTTTCACCTTCGGTTTCTCTTCTGTCCAAATGACACGCGTCTTGGGGCGAGCGCGTTCTTGTTTTAAATGGATATGTTGCAGATATGACAAATACTTAACCCACGCGTAACGAGCTTTGAAGGAAAGCAGGGGAGTGTCTCCGGTTTATCTGGCTCGAAACGTCCGAAACTCGAAGCGTGCGTCGATACGCAGAGTATTCGCTTCGGCACGCGCTTATTGAGATGGCGCGACATTCCAGTTCCTAAAGGAAACAGCCTGATGATACTCTATTTCCGTGAGAAATTTCTTTTCAGATATTTCTGACGACACACGTTTGAGAGCTGAAGTCAGACCGTGTTGCGCGACGAATTTGCTGAGAGGCTGAGAGAATCTATTTCGAAATGTGAAAGTGTTTCACACGCGGAAAATGACGCCAACTAGCGTCGCGGCCGCGAGACACCGCCGCGAATCGATAAGATAACGTTCGTCGGCAATTGAAAATACTCGCGCGACAGTTGCAAATTATCAATGAATTTCACGTCGAGCAAAATTTAAATCATTAGCAACGTATTCCGCAACATCGAGCATTGGCAATACGGAGTGAGCGGCACTTGTAACTTTTCGACGAATAATTAGCTCGGAGGAGAAGATCTTTTCTACTCAATACTGTAGACCTTTTACCCGTTATCAATTATAGAAAAAAAGCTGGCTATTTGAAAATTGCGAGAGAATTCCAGCAAAGTCACAAATTGTCTGCAGACTCGCGTGATTTTATTCGATGATTTTCAGCCGGAGCCGGAGCTTCTGCAGAAAACGGTTAACAAGGTAAACTCGATAGAGAGAGAGAGAGCACATGAACGAGATAACTTTTAAGCAACGGTATGTAAAATTCAAACGTCCAAAATCTGGGCCACGGAAGAAAACGCTTTCCGCGGAAGCGCTCCCATTGTAACGATCGTCTGGCGGACCGAGCGAATGCCATTAGGAATTAAAGCGCGCGGCGGCAGTTCTACATTTCACTCGCAGTCATTGTAATTTTGTCATCAACAATTTTCCGAGCCCTATGCGCCCGCCATTAACCTATTTATTATTACATGCTATAATTCGCGCATAAATAAATAAATCGCTTAATTAGATACTGAAATATATATACGCGCGCTAGAAGAGAAGTAATATTGATAGCGTCGGATAATTAGCCTTCTCCTCGTGCCGCGCTTCTGCGGGGGGGGGCGGGGAGGGAGGCCGACAAATGAGATCCCCGCAAGAACGCAAGAATACCGAGTGAAAACATAAGAAAGAAAAAAAATGCGAGAAAAGCGCGTCGTGGTGAAATCCCACGCGACATTCCTCGCGCATACGTACAGGTCGTTTCAGGAGGAAACGTCGATGCGCTGCCGCGCCGATGGAACGCGTCTCGTTGTCAAAGTCAGCAAATTCCTAACGTGTGCATCGAGCTGCGAATCGACGAATCGAAGATGGTACGACCGTTGACCGCATTGACGTTAAAGAGATAAAATACTTGGCGGAAAATGAGACTTCCCTTAGGCTTGTTTGAAAGGTTTATTTTCGTTCATCACAATTCATCGGAATTTCGATAAAATTAAAGCGTAAAATATTCAAAACGTATGAGATCAGCTCGTAAAATCACGAGTGAAAGACACGACGAGAGGAGAGATGAAAATCAGGCCTGAATGAAAAACTTGTTTTCACAGCGCGTCTGAAGTGAAATGTCCGCTAATATGGGAGTGCTGAATGTTAAAAACGATCGAGATCAGCGCGCCAAAGTGGGCATAACGGCCTATGATGAGAGGGCGAATGAAAATCACACGTGAAAGCGTTAAAGTCGGTAACTCGGATTTCTTTCCTTTCCGTTTTCCCGCGGTTTGCTCTCTCGTCCTTTTACAGGGCGAGTACGAATCATCGCGTCGCTTCGCCGCTTAACACACATGACGCCTCGACCGTGCCTTCTGAAATATCCTGTGCGGAGCAGCGGAAGTAGCTGCTTCGGAAGCCGCAACGAACGAACGAACGAACGAACGAACGAATGAACCAACGAACGGGCGAATGAGCGAGCGCGAGCGCGCTAAATAATCATAACTCAGAGAGACATTTGTAACGCCAGCCTCTCGCTCGTATTTATCGCTGTTGTTGGACGGTTTGTTGCAGCAATAACGGTAATGGGCCTCCCCCGTCTCTCGCGCTTGCCCTCCCTCCCATCCCCGCCCCCGCCCTCCTTCCAACCCTGCATCCGCGTCCTCTCTCCCTCGCCCGCTGCCTCTCGTCGCCCCGAGGCCGTTCTCTCTCGCGCCTCGCCGGCCACCCCTCGCCGAGCGATTTATCCTCGGGTAATTAGCACGGGTAATAATTAATGCGGCCGCGCATTGTGCTAATTATCAGCGAGAGAACCTTTTAAGAAATGAAAGAACATTCGAAATAAAACAGGGCGCCGGCGGGAGAACGGTGGTGGGAAAAAGGGTGGACACGTCGGTAGCGGCGAAGGAGACCAGGATAGGAGGAGGAACGTAGCGGACAGAGCGGAAAGAGTGAAAAAGGGTGGAAAGAGAGGCGCGCAGAGAGAAGAACGAGGGAGCGAGAGAGGGTAGTTTCGCGGAAACTGCTCGCGACAGGCCCGCTTGCGTGATGTCATTCGATCACGGAGCAGTATGCAGGCGGAAATTTAAGGCTTTCTAGGAATTTTCTCGCGTCCTAATCGAGACTGACGCTCGATGAGATTGGGTCTTCGTCATCCCCCTACCGCGCCCCCCCCCTCTCCGAGCCGTCGATTTGGGGTTCGCGTTCGCGTGCCGCGAGGGGCGTCTCTCTTCCGTGCTCCGAGACGCGAGCTAAAAATCCGACGACGCGGAGAATGTAAGGTCCGCGACGGGGGTGGGGATCCGACGTATGCGTTTCTCAAGGAGAGCTCAAGCCGCTCGCGTCTCCGGGACAGTCTCCCCCGCGTGCGTTCGACGCGGCCCGCTGCGAGCGAGCGAGCGGGCGAGTTCGTACACGGACTCACGACAGCCAGAGCAGAGTCGAGCAGCTATCCATCAGGGTGCTTTTGTCGCCCTAATGAGAGCTTGAATTATTCAACTCGTACAGAGGCCCCTCCCTCTCCGCGGCGCTTCTCGCGCCGAGGCACCCGCCCATCCACGACGGGCTCGCTACCGGCCCGCTCGAGCTCGCGACACTTAAGAGTCGTTCATTCCTATACGTGAACACGCGGCCATTAATGCGCCTCTCGCCTTCCGGTTAGTGACAAACCCCGAAAATGCCGCTGAGTCTCGGGAAAGTCGCCTCGCGCCGTCAACGGGACGAGCGCGCCGAGCGTTCCAGTTTGACGGCGATTATGACAGTCGCGCGATTGCGCGACGCACAATGGCGAGAGGCAGATAAAACTCGGCCTCGTTAAAATTATCGAATTATCTTCGGGTTACCAATCGTATCTTCTTCTTGTTGCAACGAGAAAGCTGCAAACCGGGCAAGGCGAGAGATCACGATGACGGAATGACGA